CTTTAATAGATATTATCTCATTTGATTATGACAACAACCCAGTGAGTCAGGTGAGGTATTCCTCTTTTCCAAAGAAAGAATATGCAGCATGAATAAAGCACGCAGAACCCGGACTCAAATCAAATCCAGACATCTGCCTACTACATCACATTGTCTCTATACTACTGCAGCCGATTCTATAAGCAAATGGGGCAAAAATTAGCCTCATTAGCTTTTAAGCATATAAAAACACATTCAGTTACTACCAACATAATGGAGCACTCAGTTAGTTGCATTTTTTCCCTCTGTACTTCGCTTATAGCTGAGATAAGCAAATTATATTAAGAACATAAGCTAAAAATTGGAATTTCATTTTAAGATACAAGCAAAACAAATAAAATCGCCCAGCAGATGATATGGATTAGTATAAACAGTCCAATCTCAACTTAAAATTCTTCAACTTCAGGCCATGTCCAGGAACCAGTGCAAATCAGGGATTTCCTATACATCTAGTTTTAGTATTCTTTAACAATCAATGATAGTCAATATTAATGCCCCCACCCCAATGCCATTCCTAGGCATATTAGGCCCAAGCAAAATGAAAACATAACCACACAAGAACTTGCATACAAATATTCACAGTAGCATTGTCTACAACATCCAATATGTGGATATAATCCAAATGTCCATCAACTGATGAATGCACAAAACATGACGATATTAATACAATGAAATATTATTCAGTCATAAAAAATGATACATACTACTGATATATGCTACAACATGGATGAACCTTGAAAACATCATGCTAAATCAAAAAAGGAGTCAGAAAGAGCAACATAGTATATGAGTCCACATATATGAAATGTCTAGAAAAGGCAAATACCTAAAGACAGAAAATAGATTAGTGGTTGCCAGGGGATGGGGAAGCTAGGGTGAATGTGGAGTGACTGCTAATGGGCTTGGGGTTTCTTTTCGAGGTGATGGAAATGTTCTAAAATTAGACAGCAGGGAAGGTTGTACAGTTCTGTGAATACTAAAAACACTGAATTGTACACTTTAAATGGGTGAACTGTACAATAGGCAGAAGAATTAATTCTCAATTAAACTGTTTAAAAAATAAACCTATAGCACTTAAGATCCTTAATTTTTTGAAAATTCAGTTATTTTTCAATATATTTCATTAAGGCAGGGAAGTGAACTAATACTTTTAAAACATTTTCAACAAATACATGTCATAAGCATTTTGGGGTCATCTTATAAAAACACTTTAAGGAAAGATTCGATTTTTCTGAATTAGTAGATTCTTTAAAATTTTTTTCTACTTTTACCAAAAAGTTACTTCATTCTTTTACTTTTCCCCTTTTCCTTTTATTAAATACCCACATTATTTTAAAAGTTTTGAGTATAATATACTATGAAATTCACCCATCTTTAATTGTATAGATATTTTAATACCCATACACAGCTGTATGTGTAATCTTCACCACAATCCAGTTTGGGAACAATTCTATCACCCTAAAAATTTCCCTGTGACTATTTGCAGTCAATCCCTGCTCCCACCCTCCAGACCCAGGCAACCACTGATCTGTCTCTAAAGTTTTGCCTTTTCTAGAAATGTCAAACAGAATCATTCAATATATAGTTTTACGTATCTGGCTTCTTTCAGTTAGCATAATGTTTCTGAAGTCATCCATTTGGTTCAATCTATCAGCAGTTAAATTTTTTTACTGCTGAGTAGCATTCCATCATATGAATGTCCTACATTATGTTAATCCATTTATCAGTTGATGGACATTTGAACTGTTTACAGTTTTTAGCCATCATGAATAATACTGCTGTAAATATTCACAGAGAAGCCTTTGGGTAGACACAAATAGTCATTTCTATTGGGTAGATACTTACAAGGGTGGATTTTCTAAATCATATAAATGTATATTTAATTTTTTAAGAAACTGCCACTCTTTCAAAGTGGCTATACAATTTTACATTCCTACCAGCTATGTATGAGGTTTCCAGTTTCTTCACATCTCACCAACACTTAGGACAATCCCTTTTTTTCTAATTTTAGTCAATTTAGGGGGTATATGAGTGGTATTCCACTGTGGGTTTTTTTTTTTTTTTAATTGAAGCATAACTGATTATACATATTTGTGGGTCACTGTGGTTTTAATATCTAATGACAGTAGGCATATTTTCATGTGCTCATTTGCCAGCCCTATATCTTCTTTAGTGAAGTCTTTTCAAATCTTTTGCCCTTTTATAAAACTGGGTTGTATCCTCATTAGTGACTTGTAATTCTCCGTATATTCTGGATTCAAATCCTTAATCATACATATGTTCTGTATATATTTACTCTAAGTCTATGGCTTGTCTTCTCATTTTCTAAACTCTTTGAAGTGAAAGGTTTTTAATTTTGATGAAGTCCATTTTATCAATTTTTGTTCACGTATCATGCTTTTGGTGTTAAATCTAAGAAATCCTTACCTAATCCAAGATCATGAAGATTTACCCCTATGTTTTCGTATGTAAATTTTACAGTTTTAGTTCTTATATTTAGGTCATTGATTTTCTTCTAGAAGTTTTAAGAATTTTACATTTAACATTTAAATCTATGATCCATTTTTGTACATAATGTGAAGCAAGGGTCTAGGTGTCATTTTTTTAAATATGTGGATATCTAATTGTTCTAGCACCATTTGTTGAAAAGACTATCCTTTCCCCCAATGTATTACCTTGGCATCTTCATTGAAAATCAATTTACCATGTATATCTGAGTTTATTTCTTAATTTTATTCTATTTTTTTTTTTTTTTTTTGTCTTTTTTCGTGACCGGCAACGGATCGCAATCCTCAGTGTTGCGCCTGTACCGGACCGGGACCGGCAACGCGATCGCAACCCTCGGCGTTGCCCCCGCACCTTGCTCAGCCAGTGAGCGGCTGGTCTGCATGTGGGATCCGAACCCTCAGCGGGAGCGCCGCCGCGCTTCCCAAGCGGCGCACTGTAGCAGGGCGCCCCCCGGCCGGCCCTTAATTTTATTCTATTGATCTATTTGATTAAGACTACAGTTTTATAGTAAGTTTTGAAGTCAGGTGCTATAAGTAGCTTTGCTCTTCTCCAAAAATTTTTTAGCTCTACTAGGTCCTTTAATTTTCTATATAAATTTCAGAATTACCTTCTCAGTTTCTACAAAGAAACTTACTGGGATATTGATAAGTCCTGCACTCAATCTACAGATTACCAATTTGGGTCTTCCAATCTACAAAACTGGTATCTCTCTCCATTTATTTGGGTCACCTTTAATTTCTTTCTAATGTTTTATATTTTTCAGTGTACAAAAATACTTATTTTAAAACACCAATGATAAACTTCTTACTTACGCTTTAAATCTAGAATCAAATTATAATATAATAGGAAACCTTTCAAAAATTATTTAAAAATCTTCCTGACACAATTTTAAGTTTACTATACCTCACATTCAACAGTGGGACAAACAATGAACAATAAACAAATAGTAAAGATCTGTTATCTTGTAAAGTCTGAAGGTATAAAATATTCATAAAATTAAGCAGTAAAAAAATTAACTCCTATCTCAAAGAAGGTACTTGCCTAGACTGAAATCCTCCCAAAAGTTCTTGGTAGCAGAAACTCAACCTAGTTTTTTCTTCCCAAACTCCCATCAACTGAAGAAAAGCCCACAAACTACAGTCATATCCACAAACAAAATGTATTTATATTAATAAAACAATACTGGAAACACAATGAAATACACCATCTCCAGTCTTTTTTGTCTATTGTTATAGCATGGTTTTTGTCTCCAGTTGTAAATGATAAGCCCTCATGGAAGCATATCTGTCAAATAAAATGGAGTTGAGGTTCCATCCAAGGTTCAAGTCATGAAAAATTATTTAAAAAATACTTGAGAAGTATAAATGTTATCAAAGACTTTTCAATGAGAATCTCTCTTAAGACAAAAACATTTTGTACATTCATACCAGGAACCATGTACAAGAGAGTTCATAATTACACTATTTATAATAGCAAAAACCAGAAACTATCTAAATGTCCATTGACAAGAGTAGATGGTATAAATTGTAGTATATTCATATTATTAAATACTGTAATGTAGTAAGAATGAACTATAGCCATACGTAACAACATGATGAATATTATAAACATAACACTGGGGAGGAGAAAAAGCAAGTCTCAGAAAACAATAAGCAGTATGATTCCAAGCAAAACTAAACATATTGTTTGGGCACACGTACGTTCACAATAAAAACTGCTTTTAAAGAGGCAAAGAAATGACAAATGCAAAATTCAGAAAAACAGTTTCAAGAGATAGGGAGTGCAGGGAGAGGGAAAAAGGAGGCAGGAAAATTGAATATCTGAGGAACATGTAAATGAATACAAGCTATTAGTAATGTTCTAGTTCTTGGGTTGAGTGGAGAGTTCATTCATTTTATAACTTACATTTACATTCCCTAATTCTTTTGTAAGTATCAACTACTATATTAAAATATTTTTTAAAAAAAACACAAGCAGGGCTGGCCCGGTGGCGCACTGGAGAGTGTGCCGCTTGGGAGCGTGGCGGCGCTCCCACCGAGGGTTCGGATCCCATGTGGAGACCGGTTCCCGCTCACTGGCTGAGCGCGGTGCGGGCGCGACACCAAGGGTTGCGATCCCGTTACCGGTCAGTAAAAAAGACAAAAAAAGGAAAAAAAAAATACTAGCAAACAGAATACAACAACACATACGTAATATTATTCACCACGATCAAGTGGGATTCATCCCAGGGATGCAAGGTTGGTTCAACATATGCAAATTAATAAATGTGATACAGGGCTGGCCCCGCGGAGCACTCGGGAGAGT